GTAAGCGAAAGAAAAAAAGTCTAGGTGGCAGAAGCGTGGCAAATAAAAAGCGGTTGTAGCTGCGATCGCTTTATTTTAAGTCGTGCTCCTCAATCACGAGTCCTTGTTGCAAATTAGATCGTCCCGTTTGTGCCAACATTGAAAAAATGCCATCCGCCAGCAACGTTTTACACAAATCGAGAGACAACTCGAGTCGTACTCGTGTTCAAAACCGAGTGAGAGAGAGAACTTCTGCAGAAGCTTACACGTACAGCGCGTACAAACCAATTGGAGTTTCGTGGAAACACACCGCCACCGCTGAACTCCATTCGATCAAAACGATATGAATTATGTATTCGAATTCGTAGGGAATTATTTAACGCTTGCGTTGCATCATAACTAACTCTAGAACGATTAAAATAAAACGCGTCATCACCTTTGCGTGCGATTACCTAAACCGCGAATATCGAGCGATAAGAAGCTGCAAGGCACTTGGTTCCGCGGGAATCAACGAGTCGATAAACGAGCCAATGACAAACATTTCGGCCGATCGATTGAATCACGGTCCTATTTTTCGCGAAACGATACACCGCCGTTGGACGGAAATGTTTTTTTCCAGATTACGCAATCTTCTCCATTCGATAACTCGAGACACTGCGGCACGGGATCGAAGACGATCAAAAGGGAACCGGACACCATCTGATTCTCTCGTGTTACGGCACGAACGTTTATTTCCTATATGGATAAATTCCCGATAAAGGAAAAGCGCCGCGCGGCGTATCTTACCTTTCTTACGCCCGCAAATTTCGCAACAAGTCGATCGCGGTGACCCTGAATTATTACAATACTACTGGCGAAGCTAGCTGTGGTAATGTTACGGGTTATATACAGGTGGATACAGAATTAGAAGTCGAGAGAGAACAAATCGATATCCCGAGGATGAAGACCCTGGGTCGCGGTCAAGGCCAGCGCTTCGGTAACGACCATGTTCCGATTTCAAGGCAAATTTACCCAATAAAAAAATAACGCAACGACGAGTCAGCATGTAATAACATCAGGATTATCGCCGAGCTAATTTTGGAACGACGCTCTTTCACTTTTCGAGTCTCTGATCTCTAGCCTCGAGACTAACGATTCGGCGAGTTGCCTCTCGTCTCTTTCAACGCGAATTTCCCCCCGTGAAATAAAAGCGAAAATACGCGTCTGCCCCTTTTTATTTCAAATGCGTGCATATATATCCCAATAAAACTTGGACTTTGAGTTCGATCCGGATGAAGAAAGTTTCTCAAGAAGGATTGAGAAGATTCGCAAGCCAGCCAATTCAACAAACGAGAAAACGAGAAACTAACGGGAGATCACGTTCTGCTCGTCGGAAAAGTAAAAAATCATACGTAGATGTAAGAATTTGTTTCGCGCATTGGCCAAGGTTATGGCTGACCCAACTTCGAGATGACGTCATCTCGTGGCTTGAAAACTTCAATGCTCCCCACTTCGGACCAAGTTCCGAAAGCTGGTGATTACGCAGCCTGTTTCTTACCAAACCAGACAACGCATCATCGCCACGACCGGTGCGGCCGATCGTCAATCACGGTTGCCTATCGACAGGGGCCCCCACCATATCCGACATTCAATAACGAGTCGATCCAAATAATTACAATTGTTTGTAACCAAATCACTTCAATTTTCTATCAATGCCTGTCTCTCGAGCATTTCATCTTCTCTCTCTCTCTCTCTCTCTGTCTCTCAAAGACAGGCTCTCTATTCTATGAAATCGATTTATCATCGTCTATGTATCGTCAATTTTAATCGTCGATTTAACAATTTTAATCCTCCTCGACGTAAATACATATTCGTTCAAGGCAAATATTCTTATTAATCGTTGAAACTCGAGCGATTGGAAAGATTCGTATTCTATCGAGAAAGCCAACGCGATACAATTTTGTGACACAGCGATACGAATGTACGAATTGAATGTCTATAAAACGCGCAAACACATGTAGATACGGCACGTAATTTCGCGGTATGTACGATAAATCGAGATTCGAGGAGAGAGAGAATTAAAGCGAAGCAAGATCCTCAGAATGAAGACGTACACTGAGTGGATGATTTCAACGTACAAACAAATGATCTTTTGTAAAGCTGAACGAAGCTAGTCAAACATAATCTTTTCTTTTTTTTTTTTTTTCAGTAACGCGCTCCGTAGAAATTCCTAGCTTCGTGTAACAGCACGTCGTTATAAACAAATACACAAACCAGGGATCTCAACGCTACAATTTAATAAAAACTACTTAACAAGAAAGGAACTGTTTTCGTTTTAGAAATAAGCAAAGTATTTCTACTGGCTAGAAAATCCATAAAGATACAAGGATCATGCTTGAGCGATGAACTTAAAACCCGTCGACTTAAAACAGCTTGAAAATTTCTCTAACATGAAATAAGGACCGGTGGTGTTCGAAAATATCTACTGACGCATCCTCGTGACGAATTTTCTTTTCTTTTCTTTTTTCTTTTTTTTTTTTTTTTTTTTTTTTT